ATTTAGAATAATATTACCTTCAAACAAAGGTCGGGTACCCAATCTAGGTTAGTCGTGCAACACCTTGTTGACTTAGACGGAAGTTAACGCCCTTTCCACCTAAGTACACTTGAATCAATATCAAGAGTCAGCCGGATCCCTAAAACACAATTAGTGTGCCCAATGCTCCATCTCAACTGGATTCAAGTCCGTCTACTGACCTGACGCAAGACGTGCGGAAACAAGGATACAGCGTAATCTACTTGAATTAATAATTACAGAGTGAGCAAAATATGGTCAAACATTACAATTTATTAGTCAGGTAAATGTATAATGCCAATTCAATCAGTCAATTCATAAATGATCAATACAAAACATCAAATTATCAAAGATAAATCCAAGATGAAAGGATGCATACCTGACTTCAAATTTTACATAACGTAGAGCATAAGCTACATGTTATGGGCTGATCTGGTTAGGCAGAATCGCCCTGAGCCTTTCTCAAAACTTACCTTAAATAATCCAAGAATTCCCTCGAGGAAAGGGGTGTGTGTATAACAAAAGGCATTTGCATTTAGTGCTGCCTGTGGGAAAGTCACACCCTTCACAGTGGTTCAAAAGATGCCTGAAGTTATATATTTATGGTTTTGATTATGTCTATTTCTGAGAGAATGAGACTATTGTACCAGTCGTACTGAGACATTTCAAATGATATCAAACATGATAGATAAAGTCAGTTTATATATATATATATATATATATATATATATATATATATATATATTGATAAATCAGCATATCAATATTTTATTCCATCCCTAACTGTATGTCCATCCAGTCATATCAATTCACTTTGAAATTTGATTTTAACCCTAGTTTTTATGCCAATTTTAACAGGGCAACTGCACTTATAATGGAGCTGGGCCAGCTTCTTAGGGGCCAAACAGGAGTGCAAGCTGAAATGTCCTCAGCATTTTTAAACCTACCGTCTTTGCAGCAGTCAGCTGGACCAATTGCTGGACGGGGTGGACTGGGTGATGATCTTAGTGGAGTGACTGCTGGGCCAAGTGCAGTGACTGCTGGCCCAAGTGGCCTAAATGCTGGGACAGGTGTACTGGCTGCTGGGACAGGTGGAGTGACTTATGGGCCAAGTGCAGTGACTGCTGGCCCAAGTGGCCTAAATGCTGGGACAGGTGTACTGGCTGCTGGGACAGGTGGAGTGACTTATGGGCCAAGTGCAGTGACTGCTGGCCCAAGTGGCCTAAATGCTGGGACAGGTGTACTGGCTGCTGGGACAGGTGGAATGACTTATGGGCCAAGTGCAGTGACTGCTGGCCCAAGTGGCCTAAATGCTGGGACAGGTGTACTGGCTGCTGGGACAGGTGGAGTGACTGCTGGGCCAACTGCAGTGACTGCTGGCCCAAGTGGCCTAAATGCTGGGACAGGTGTACTGGCTGCTGGGACAGGTGGAGTGACTTATGGGCCAAGTGCAGTGACTGCTGGCCCAAGTGGCCTAAATGCTGGGACAGGTGTACTGGCTGCTGGGACAGGTGGAGTGACTTATGGGCCAAGTGCAGTGACTGCTGGCCCAAGTGGCCTAAATGCTGGGACAGGTGTACTGGCTGCTGGGACAGGTGGAGTGACTTATGGGCCAAGTGCAGTGACTGCTGGCCCAAGTGGCCTAAATGCTGGGACAGGTGTACTGGCTGCTGGGACAGGTGGAATGACTTATGGGCCAAGTGCAGTGACTGCTGGCCCAAGTGGCCTAAATGCTGGGACAGGTGTACTGGCTGCTGGGACAGGTGGAGTGACTGCTGGGCCAACTGCAGTGACTGCTGGCCCAAGTGGCCTAAATGCTGGGACAGGTGTACTGGCTGCTGGGACAGGTGGAGTGACTTATGGGCCAAGTGCAGTGACTGCTGGCCCAAGTGGCCTAAATGCTGGGACAGGTGTACTGGCTGCTGGGACAGGTGGAGTGACTTATGGGCCAAGTGCAGTGACTGCTGGCCCAAGTGGCCTAAATGCTGGGACAGGTGTACTGGCTGCTGGGACAGGTGGAGTGACTGCTGGGCCAAGTGCAGTGACTGCTGGCCCAAGTGGCCTAAATGCTGGGACAGGTGTACTGGCTGCTGGGACAGGTGGAGTGACTTATGGGCCAAGTGCAGTGACTGCTGGCCCAAGTGGCCTAAATGCTGGGACAGGTGTACTGGCTGCTGGGACAGGTGGAGTGACTTATGGGCCAAGTGCAGTGACTGCTGGCCCAAGTGGCCTAAATGCTGGGACAGGTGTACTGGCTGCTGGGACAGGTGGAGTGACTTATGGGCTAGGTGGACTGGCAGTTGGGACAAGTACACTGACTGCTGGGACAAGTGGACTGCCTTTCCCACTAGCTCCAACTGTTCAGCTACCCTTCCCCTCCCTGCGTAATTTTTCAGCTAACCGGCCAAATAAAGTTGCTGGTTCTTTAAGCAAACTGTTTCAGCCCTACAGAAAAGACTCCAAAAATAAACTGAATGCAACCCAGTCATGGGAGCACAACTTTTTTTGCTGTGCTCAGATAAACACAGCCGAAATTCCTAGGGTGGAAGAAAGTATGTGCCTCCAGGCCAGTGGACTTGGCAAAAAAAAAATTAGGTTTTCTGATGTGCATTGCACAGCACAAAAATTCATAGAAATTATTGAAGATGCCTTCCCTCCACTCAAACATTCTGGAGGCTTTAAGATAATGCGTTGCTGCAGGAGCAAGCAACTAATTGACATTCCTATGCCACCAGAAGGTTATTCTGTAAACTTTTTGAAAAACAATAGCAGCTTGAACAAAGCTGTGGCTTACATTGTTCCCCTGCAATGTAACCTCCCTTTGAATGGTGATCGTCAAAAGGTAGGTAATGTCAACAACTTTTTGTTGTCGATTATGTGTACATTTTTCCTTAGTGTTGTGCATTACATTTTAGGAAGACAGTATGGGACAAGGGGAGCATTTGCAGCAATTGTGTGTGAACTGCAAGCAAGTAGTGCCACTTTATGTAATGGAAAGTCACAGACAACAATGTAACACAAGGTAAGACAGAGTCATGCCTGAAATCCTATGTATTATTGCCAGAGATCAGCTAAGATTTTTTCCACAAACCTTTTTAAACTAGGAACACTGCTAAATGTAAAGTAACCTTTGGAAATATAACTAACAGTAGGAATAGTATGAAGTACATTGTAATGATCATCCAATTCGATTCTATTCCCTGAACATATCAATATGACCATTAGTGAGTAAGGGTCTGTCCTCACCAACTGCATTTTTCCACTTTACCGGGTGTACCGTTGTTTTCTATGTGAACACATGGTTGATGGACACGTTTGACTTTTAAGCTTGAGTCTTTGGAAGGGCCACGTATGTGAGCAACGTATTTTTAGACTGTACAGTCATAACTCATTTTCAGAGCAGTGGGCTAATCAGAGGTAATCATAGCTGGGACAATCGTTACCAGTTTCTGTTTGCACACTGCGTGGTGTTTTCAAGACAGCCTCCTGCTTTATGCTGCTCCTTTTTTTTCTAATTATTTTGAAACATTGTGTCTCGTATCTTTTGTAGCAAATAAACGTTCAGTGTGAATAAGTTCTAAAAGGGAGAGTTCACCCAAAAATGAAAATTGTCATAATTTAGTTATAGTTTACTTGTACCATACAGTTCAAATAATGTTGTTTTGTTAGATATCAATCATTGGAGTAACAGAATAATTTTTTTTTACCCATTGACCAACATTTATGGGCAGTTTGTTTACTTAAATTACCCTATATTGGATTTAATGGAATACATTTGGTGTTAATGTCTAAGGAAAAATAAAATACAAATTAAGGTCCCTTAGTGTAGCATCGAATTTGTTCATGTAAATATCCATATGTTTATCCATATAATTACCCATATAATAATAAAAAAAAAACATTTATTCTTTTTTAAATATTTCTTGATTGTCCTGATAATATTTTCTGATAATTTTCTGAATATTTTTTATAATGGAGAATGTCTTAATTGTTTTATTTAAGCTAAAATAGAAGCAGTTTAAAATTTTTATGAACCCATTTTAAGGTTATAATTATTAGCCCCTTTAAGCTATATATTTTTTCAGTAGTCTACAGAACAAACCATCATTATACAATGTCTTGAATTATTACCCTAACCTGCCTAGTTAACCTAATTAACCTAGTTAAGCCTTTAAATGTCACTTTAAGCTGTATAGAAGTGTCTTGAAAAATATCTAGTCAAATATTATTTACTGTCGTCATGGTAAAGATAAAATAAATCTAAATATATAATATTTATATATATTATATATATTTATAAATATATATAATTATGAGCAATTCCAGAATTATGTACATGACATTTGCAGTTAAAACTCAAAACATAAATTGACAGATAAAGTATATGTTAGCATTATGTTGAAATATCTGTTTATATTTTCCAAAACAACTAAAAACCGAATTATGGGATCAGAAAAATATCAATCTGTAAACATTATTTAGACTTCAAATGAGGGAAATAAACAGTTATGAATGTGACCAAAAAAGTCTGCAGGTTTACAGTATTTAACATACTTTGTAGTAATTATGTGAATTAAACTGCACAACCCAAAAGAAACAATGATAATCAAAAAAAAATGTCTCTGAACAAAAATTACAGATTTTATTTTATTTGACATTTTTTGCATTTATGATGAACAAGCTTTGTTATGGATGTGACAAGTGAAATTTTCACTTATGTGACTTTAAATACATTAAATTTAATAGTTTGAAAATATTGACAGGGACTTTAAATATTTTTAAAGCATTTTAAAAATACTTGCTTACGAAAAAAAAAAGTATTAACCGTTTAGCTATTTTGCTGAAAAATGTTTTTTTTTCATGGCAAGGTTGATATTTGCATGGAACTGCTCATAAATATATATATATATATATATATATATATATATATATATATATATATATATACACTGTTAAAAATTGCTGTTAATTTACGGCAAAATTTTAACAGTATAATCCTGTTATTGTCAAAAGCAGTATGTTGCTGTTTTCTTACAGTTTTTGAAATGACTTAGACAAAATTTTACATTATTTTACTGTTTTTATCACACTAATGTAAAAAAAACAGCAATCAACAGTTTTTTAACAGAAAACGTCAGCCATCACGTGGATTTTCATCCTTTTGTTTACTGTGACTTACTCGGTAAGCGCACCTTTATTTTGCTAATTTTACACAAAATACACATTTGTGATTGCACATAGGCTAACTGGATGCTGATATTGTAACTTTTTTACATCTATTTTAGTGCTAAATCTGTCAATGTGCAAACTGAATCTGCATTGAGTGGAACTGGATATCTGACACAGATATTTCCTGATTACACGGTAAGTCAGAATATGATAATTAAAAATTATATATGCTATAAGCTTATCTACAAAGTCAGTTTTTAAACATATGTAGCAACAAAGTAGTATTGATTTATGTAGCATGATGAAAAGATTGTCATCTCATTGCTAATTTTAGCTTTAGCTTTTAATAGCTACCTAATATGGCTTCAATGTAGGCTTTGATAAAACATGTATTTCCCTAATGCTGTGTTTGCAAATTTTACTGTAGTTGGTTTGTATTGTAATGCTACTTTGTCGAGTACAATTGGCTAATCACCACGATAAACTGTTTTATATGTCCATTTCAGTGCTGAACCTGTGAACATGCTAACTGCATCATAGAGTGGAGCTGGATTTCTGATACAGATATTGATTACTGATTACAAGGTGAGTTTAATGAAACATGATAACATGGTAAAGTTATTATTATTTGCTATGTGGTATTATTGTCCTAATAACTGAAAATACAATTAAAAAATGTTACGCATACATTATGGTTGTTAATTTAGTCTCTTTCCTTATCATTGTAATTCTTGTCTTAGGCATCTTCTACTGTACCTGATGTAGAAAAGACCCTTGAACTACCTGCAATTCCTTGACTGATACTTTTTGGTATGTTTAGAACTGTATTTTATTACTTAAGCAACTAAGGGTGTTTTCTCTGTATTTTAGCAAACATGGTAAATTCTTTTGAACAAAACAAAATACACAAATACATAAATTAAATGTTCTGCCATATTTTACCCAAGCTTTCTTTCACCTTTGGTGAATTTTACTAAATTTACTAAAATACTCCATTTTAGTTGTTTAACACGCTTTGTTGATCATAAATATTAAGTTAAATAAATCACAAACATTGCAGTGACAATTTTACAATACACAGTATATACTGTACATGTTGATTTCAGTGGCTGTCCAGGTGAGTCCACAATCAACATTTTCAAATGTATGTATTGTGTTAAAAGAACAGGGCTTTGAGACTAAGTAAAATTACTTCAGCTTCCCTCACATATATTTTCAACTAGGCTATAAAAAATAACATTTCATGCGACTGCTGACATTGTTTTTTTCTTTTAATTGTTTTAGGAGAAAAAACAGGAAGCTACATTCATAAATGGATGATCATTTTTGAGGGGCAAATAATCTGTGAGAGCATCCAGCCAATTTTTCTGTCTGGTATAGCGGCTGTGTTTTCAACTTACGACATTTTCAATGTGGAGAACCAAGCTGAGGCTGCATGCACATTGGAATTAATTCAGAGGTTAGACGCTTAGATTCATATATTTATTTCTCTTCACATTATTATCATATAAACTTTAACCCACACTAATTCTGAATGTATGCCTTTTTTCCAGAAGCTTCATGGGTAAACCCTGAAAAAGGCTCCAAGAGTGGACACATCCTATCGAAGGGAATGGGGAAGGTCACCCACAAAAATAATTGTCAACACTAAGGTTGCCAGTTTACTTAAAGAAGCTAATGGACTTTGAGTGGGATGTCATACAAGTGACACCACACACACACACACACACACACACACACACACACACCTTACACATCCTCTTCACTAATGGCACTCATTTTATTGTGTTAGTCGCATACTTTTTTCAGGTGTTTGTTCTTGAATACCTAAACTGTTCATTGCATTCTTTTTTATTTCTTACTAACTAATTCTGTAATTCACTTAGAAGTTTTCAGAGTAGTAATTGTTGTAGTAATTCCACTTTATTTTCCATTGCCAGTAATTTTGAAATATATAAGTGTAATAAGATGTAATAAAAGTTGAAGTTACACTGCATTTTTTAGTTTTAGCATTGTTTCCAATAAGGCTATATGTGTGCATTGTATTAAACTGTGTTTTTATAACAAATAAAAAATGTATATATACCTGTTTTCTTAGCAGTTCATTTCTCAGGATAACATATTTGTAGTTTACAGTTAAAAATTCAAACAAACATTAATTAACCGTTACTTTTGACAGTAAATTACTGTTAATGTAGAAAATAACAGCTTTATGCTGTATTTTTAAAAAACAGTAACAACCTGTAAATTTCAACTACAGCTAGATGCTGTTAATTTAACAGTAACTTGCTGGCAACTGTGCTGCCAGTAACTTGCTGTTTTTTAACGGGACAATTTTTAACAGTGTATATATATTTTTTTTTTTAATACAGTTACCTCCCCTCTTCCTCCTTCCTCTAGTTCTTTTAGCAACTTAAGCAATGTCAGTACATTTGCATCAGTTTTACTTGTGCGCAATGTGTGTTTATGTTGTTGAGTCGTTTAATACCAGTTTGAAGTGACTTTGCACAAAAGCAACAGCTTAATGTCATATCAGTGCTCTAATTATTGGTAATGGTTATTAATAGTGTTTCTTAAAGTGAAAAGTAAGTTTAGCATCACAGTTTAAACTCATATTTGGTAGTAATTGAAAACGTGTTGTGCACATTTAATGTTTAAAACATGTTGTATAAAATTATGTGCAATGATAGCAATTAAATATTTGGGAAAATACTGACACAAAATTTTCTTACTTTTTACAAAAAATTGTGTAAAACCCATTTGCTGGAGGACCACAACTCTGCACCTTTTAGTAGAGTTGGGGTCGAGTCCACCTTTGTCGAGTCCAAGTCGAGACCAAGTCCTTAACCAGTCGAGTACAAGTCCAAGTCCGAGTCCAAAAGGGGTCGAGTCGGACTTAAGTCCGAGTCCTTAACATCCGAGTCCGAGTCGAGTCCGGCCGAGTCCAGACAGTCTTAAAACTCATTTATTAATTTTTCTTTTGGCTTAGTCCCTTATTTATCAGGGGTTGCCACAGCGGAACGAACTGCCAACTAGTCCAGCATATGTTTTACGCAGCGGATGCCCTTCCAGCCATCACCCATTCACTCTCATTCACACTCACACACCACGACCATTTTAGTAAATTAAATTTACCTATAGTGCATGTGTTTGGACTGTGAGGGAAACTGGAGCACCCGGAGGAAACCCACACCAACACACGGAGAACATGCAAACTCCACACAGAAACACTGTCGAGACTCGAACCAGTGACCTTCTTGATGTGCGGCAACAGTGCTAAGCATTGAGCCATGGTACCACGTATGTAAAAAAATGGTAAAATAACAATAATAATAATAAATCAAATATATTTTTCTATTAACAATTAAACTGTTAAATGAAGAAATTAAACTTTTGGTACATTTTTACAAAATGACTGTATTTTTTTGTTAGCTTGCTTCAAATTAAAATGAAAATAGGAGGATATATGTCGAATTTTTATTATTTTACAAGACTCACACGTTTGACATTATTCTCATGCCACTTTTTCACATTTCTTGTTTAAATTACGCTTGCATTACCAAGGCAACAATGCATTTTTATTAACATTAATTCCAGAGAACTCTGTTATCAGCCCCAGTGTGGAAAATGAAACCATACTCATGCCGACTGACCCAGATCTGCACAGAACATAAAAGGTTCAGCAAAGGGAGACCATTCGGCTTCACCGCTGTCTTAACAGGGAATTAACAGTCAGAAGAATTTTGTTTTAAATATAGAAAGAGTGAATAAATAGCGGGGCGATTGGGTGCAAAATAAAACCCAGTGGGAATCAGACTGAAAAAATAGTCCAGTGCAGATTTCTAGGCTCATGATCTGGGTCTATATGTTAATGATAGCCTGAAACAAGGGTTCTCAATGTCTACATTAAAAGGTCCAAATCTGAATTTTTTTATTAAGGTCAAAGCAAAGGTATGAAACAATTGATATTACATAACTTGTTTTTAATAAACATCCATAAGATGCAGCACAGTGGCGCAGTGGGTAGCACAATGGCCTCACAGCAAGAAGGTTACTGATTCGAGCTAGCTTAGGGCAAAATAAACACATACATATCTGTTCATTGAACTTTGAACTGTATATTCTCTTCATCAATTCTTTTCAGTGAGGCCGACATCTTCTTCCAATAAAATGATTGCTTTGCTGCAGTGTGTTAAAACAGGCGTGCGTGCGCAATTATCCAGCATGATCATGATTAGGCCCGGCCCTAACCAATTTGGAGCCCTAGGCAAGATTTCAGGTGAATTCCAGTAAATTCCACTGCTAGTGTACATATACTCATAAGACACTTGTAAGCTTTGTCTTGGACATTCTTTCATTTTAATAAAGCAAGTGTACAATCAAAATACTTAGAAGTTTTTGCAACTCTGGGACACTTCGAAAAAATATGCAGCGATTATGCATTGTGAAACCTGTGTAAGTTTTGCAACTGGACAAAACAAAAATTAAAACAATATGATGATGATCTTATTTTAACTAAACATGCTATGAAGCAGAAAAGAAGGATGAAGAGTCAGGCAGGTATTAGGCCTAAAACAGTACACAATTCAGGTCTAAAAAGACAACAGATAATTCTCATTCATTCATTCATTCATTTATTTTCTTTTCGACTTAGTCCCTGTATTAATCAGGGGTCACCACGGCGGAATGAACCGCCAACTTATCCAGCATGTTTAACACAGCGGATGCCCTTCCCTTCATATGCTATGGCCAATTTAATTCATCAATTCACCTATAGTTTTTGGATTGTGCGGGAAACCGGAGCTCCCGGAGAAAACCCACGCCAACACGATGAGAACATGCAAACTCCACACAGAAACATGAACTGACCCAGCCTTAGCTCGAACCAGCGACCTTCTTGCTGTAAGGCGACAGTGCTACTCACTGCGCTACCGTGCAGCTCACAGATAATTCTATAAAACATATCTTTTTGTATCTTATGGAATTGTCAAATTAAATTAATATTCTTGCAAAAGACTTCTTAAATGATCTTAATACATCACTCCAGTTGTGTCTTTGTGTTCCAGTTACATTTAGGACGAATTTCTGTTATTTATTTAGAATATTAATTGTATAATAATATATATATATATATATATATATATATATATATATATATATATATATATATATATATATATATATATATGGCTGATTCCAGCGTTATGGATGTGACATTTGCGGTAAAAATTCAAAACATAAATTCGCAGAGAAAGTATACGTTAACAATATATTGAATCATCTGTTTATATTTTCCAAAACAACTAACCACAGAGTTATGGGATCAAAAAAATTCAATCTGTGAACATTTTTATACTTTAAATGAGGAAAATAAACAAGCGTTATGGATGTGACAAAAAAAGTCTGCGAGTTTACAGTATACAACATATTTCGTAGAAATTCTGTGAATTAAACTGCACAACCCAAAATAAATAATGCTTAACAAAAGGATAAGAGTTGTCTCTTTATAGAACAAAACTGATTGATTTTATTTTATTTTGACATTTTTGCATTTTTGAGGGAAAAGCTTTGTTATGGATGTGACACTTTTTCGTTATGGATGTGACGGATGTGAAATTGTCATTTGTTTGACTTTGGTGAATCAAATATAATAGTTTGAAAACATTGACAGAGACATATTTAAGTATTTTTAAAGTACTGTAAAAAACTTGCCTACTCAAAAAAATGTAGACACGGTTTCGCTATTTTGGTGAAAACATTTTTCTTTTTATGGCAAGGTTGACATTTTCATGGAATTGCTCATATATATAATATAAATAAATGGAGGGTGGGGGGGCTTTTGAGGATATAGGTCATAGTCCTGGTCCTCAGTTCAAAAGACAGTGATGATGACATCAGCATACAACTATGCATAATTCTGAATCATTTTAAAATGAAACAATTGAGATGATAAATTGTGCAATACACATATTCTTGCACTCTGTCATTGACTACATATAAATAGAATCAGAAATGTGTCATTATCAGATTCTCTCTTGCATATCAACATGTAGGGAAGATATATACTGCTGCTCACAATCAGTAATGTTTATTCTCACACAGAAGACTCACATTGTGGACACAGGCACCCCTAATCTCTCCAATGTCTCTCATCAAAATATTACCTGAATATTAATTTTTACACAAATTCAAAGTCAAACTTCATTCTATCTTTAAAAAGATTAAATTATTGCTTGAATTTGTGGACTTAGTCCACTGATTATTCATTCTGAATGTTGTCTGGATTTGAATATAACTCTACATTAAATTCTTTTGTGCTTATATTGACCTAATATATAACTCCAAGCAACATTATTACAACATTTTTGCTAAACCATCATTCAATTACTGTAATTTAACACAATCTTTATACTCTCCTAACCCTAAAAACAGAAGCTGATCTGGGATCTGGGATGAGTTTATTATACGGAACACGTCCGTCAGTCAGCATGTATAGGCTACACTGATTCAGAAATGTGATGATCGACGCACATCTTTAATGGAAGTGAATGCAGACATTTTTATATTCATTTTAACGTGCTTTCAAGCCAAAATAAAGCGATAGCACAATTCTCTTGAACAGCTCTTGCAGTTCTATCGCATTTGAGATCGCTGTATGACGGTGCTTTCACTTTTCATAGAAAGATTAAGCATAAGGGGGAAGTATTGGAAAATGAATCGGGATGATAGCGGGATGTCATTATAAGAATCACACAGGAAAACTTTGAATATTACGGAGTCCGGATTTGAGAAGCCCTGGTCTAAATCAAGCGCTGAACGCATATTTCTCTGGCTCAGAGCCAAAGCGCAAAACTTTGAATCTGACAGTTATTTGCGGATATATTGACACCAATATAAACAACAAAACAATCTCGCCAAGATGTTGTAACATCATCCCTACGATATGAATGTACAATTCAAGTAAATAAGCTCTTACCTTTCTTTGTTTTCTTTAAACATGTCGGTAGAAGACAAATTATTGCTGATTTAAAAGACATTATTGTCCTAAACCTAGCCACGCATTGTGTGATTATGGCTATTTCTGGTTACACGTTTAAGGTGATGACGTGCTGCTGCTGCCTGCTGGTACGGTGCGGTGCCGTAAATAAAAGCTGGCATGCAGCCAGAGAGATCGCTAAATTCTTGTTATAGTTTCATGCTGTTATTTATTCATTTTTTAATATCTTTATTTGTGTTGTGAATGATGTGGACTCGACTGGACTCGTGATATTTTCCGAGTCCAAAATGTCCAAGTCCGAGTCAAGTCCGAGTAAAAGTTTCCCCAAGTCCGTGACAAGTCCGAGTCCAATGAAAACTGGACTCGAGTCCGGACTCGAGTCCGAGTCCAAGTTCGAGTACCCCAACACTACCTTTTAGCTTCAACCACCTCCAACTTACACTTGCTTAATAGTCTCTAGTAGTCTTGAACACCTTGATTAGTTGAATCAGCTGTGTTGGATTACACTCCGGAGCAAAAACTATGCAGAGCTGCTGCCCTCCAGGAATCAAGTTTGAAACCTATACCTTACACCTATACAACTTAAAGATCACTTGACCTATCAGGAAATGTGTTAAATGTCATCTTTTTTGTTTTTTACACATTGGAAATAATTTATTAGACATACTGCTGACTTATTGTTGTCTTGTGCTATAGCGTTGTTGCAGCTGTGACAGTCCACTAGTATGTAAGTAAATCTGTATCCATCACATAAAACAATAACTTCACATTGTAGCTGGACAATTAAAAACATTGCAACAGGTCTTCATTTATTGTTGCCATTAAAGGTCGGTGTAAGATGATTTACATTTATAGCTTTAAAACTCAAAGTGCTTACATTTATCTTAAGGTCATTCAAAAAATTAGCGTGCATGTGTCACAAAAATTGGCTTAGAATGGAATTTTGCACCACAATTTTGCAAAGACATTTTGCACCATGAAGATGCCAGTAAATATATTACATGTGAAAATTTTACATGTAAAATGAAAGCTAAATACAAAATTTGATTGTGTTATGTATAGTTGTTTTTGTTGTCTTTAAAGTTTATGTGACTGTGTGATGTGTCCAAAGTATCTAATATAATGTAATCTACTTAAAGGATCAATATGTAGGGAATATGTAATATCTCTTCCTTTCCTCCGGGGGGAGCTGTGTGTTGTGTTAGGGAGATGGGCTGCAGTTTGGCCTCAGTTGTGTTTCCCTGTGGGAAAGGTAAGGAGCATTGATTCAGCTCTACACATAATCTGTTTAATTTCGTCAATAATATTTGCCATCCATGTTATTTTATGAGATATGTTATAGTTTAGGCATTAATTAATGTGTAGATGTCCTTATTTTTGATAGATTGACTTATATTTCTGATATTTCTGATATTTTAGTTGTTTCCATGCGGCATGGCATATTTTATGTTGTTTTAGGTTTGATAATACATGTTATTTGGTTGGTTCTTTATATCCTGAATATATTTAACATTTATAATTGCCTGTCATATGTTCTAGTTTATCTTTTCAGTGTTTAAGTTAGTTTGTGAACAGCAAGCTTACTAGTTATGTAGCTGCAGCATTTACATCATTTATTTTTGATCATTTGTACACTTAGTAATTATTTTGTGATGTACTGAGTTGTGTTTCCCTGTGGGAAAGATGTTGCAGTGCCATTTCTGCTGTACAAGTGACGAAATGAAGAGAGGAGTCCATTAAAGGGAAAGCTGCTCTGTTTGGCTCAACCACGGTCTTGGTGTCCTTCCTGTTCATCCTATCACACACACACAACGCAGAGACATTTTTGGGGAAGCACACCAACGAAGAGGGTTACATCTTTGGTGCCGTGACCCGGATCCTTGGTTTTCACGTCAATTAAAGTAGGCTTTTTTCCTTAAAAAAAAAAAAAGGCAATTGATCTGAATTTCTGAGTTTTTTGTTTTTCCTATCTTTGTTTTTTCCACTGTTTCTCTGATAAGTAGACTAATATGTGAATTTACTGATGTAACATGTTTAAATTGATGTGTTTTTGAAAGTGTATCATTTATTGTGTGCACTGACAAGTTTTTGGGTGTAGCTGAATTTAAATTGAACTAGGTTTATTTTGTTTAAACATTTTTTTTTTTGCTAATTTTTTTGTTTTTGTTTATTATTGTACATTTTTCTCTAACAATAGAAAGTTTGCAAAGAAACCATAACACACACACACACACACACACATAAAAAAAAAAAACATAGTCAATTACAATTGCATGCACTACACATAGTACTGCACATAGAGTGTTGCGTAGGCAGAGTCGAGAAGTGAAATATAATAATGCAAGGACACTATGATTCCACGCCTCATCGACCACCCACCTGTTCCCAAGAATCTTTTAGGCAGCCTTTCCACGTCACTCCATGGTTGCCCATAAGACAGGAAAAAATTGAATCGCATGACATGAGCACTACAGTTGATATAAGTAATGTGGGTGAATCTCACTTAGAAGAAAGCCCCCTACAGTCTGTCAGGCCAAAATCAACGCAGCTAGCGACACACAGAGAGATTGTGACTCCCCCAGTGGTAAGCTGGCTAAAGCCAGGCACCCACACCAATGCATCTGTGCAGGTATCAGCTCATGACCAAGCCCCAGATAACCATGTCTATCCAACAAGCAACCATATTTTGCCTATTGCCACACACCCACATGTTTCATGCCAAACTTCCATGCATGACAGTGTCACACCTGTTCACGCTCCACCAGACATGGCGATTGGAATGCAAGCTGATATGCATACTTCACCAAATATCCCATACTCAACCCCAGCAACAGTCATTTTGCCTCACACAAATCTAATTGGCCATCCACAACCCATCCAGGCTCCTCATTCCTCCTATTATGGTGTTCCAAATACCATGTACTCATCACAGTCTGACTCAGTACTGCCCCCTGCACCGCCTGTCTTTTCTGGAACAATGTTTTCTCACAAATTGGACCCTGTTCAAGCACACCAAGCTCCTTATGATCCAAAGCTGACTTTGCGTTCAAACTATGCTGTTGCTTCATCTTCTTCCGCTCCTGTGTATGCTCCTGCGACAATGCCTGCATACCCTGCATCACGTATATATGCACAACAACCCAGTGTAGTGCAACAGCTTCCGACTGCACCTTCACATATCCCATATCAACAAGGCACTAACCAACATGCCTCTGCAATGACCAAGTCACCACCTAGTTTTACACAAACACATCAGGTACGAAATGTTCAAGTGTTCAGTGGTGGTCCTGAATGCAAGATACTAATTGAAGACTGGATACGGGATATGCAGTATCTCCTTGAAGCAGGAGGAATGCCACCAAATTTATGCTTTGCAACGCTAGTGAGACATTTAAATGGTGAAGCCAGGAGGTTAGTCCTAAATCTCCCTCCCTCTGAGCAAACCACCAGAAGAGCTTTTGATGAACTGCGAGCTGAGTATAGTGATATGCAGACATCTCTTGACCCATTAGCTGATTTCTATGAAAGATGTCAGCGCTCTGGCGAAACAGCTCGTTCCTATGCCATTGCCCTGGAGGCCACTTTACGTTCAGTAGAGGAAACACAGTATGGAGGACAAACATTTCCAGATCGGGATGGAAAGCTAACTCGTCAGTTCATGAGAGGATTGAGTGATGAAGAAGTTTATCATAGGCTAGCACCAATGAAACCTCAGCTCTTAAGTTTTCGTGAACTGCAAGCAGAGTTACGTAACCTTGCTCGGGAGACAAAAAAATTCCAGATGCTGCCAAAGTCCAAAAAGGCATATGCCCAGGCTCAGTTTACGGCAACTAGTGGTAACAGGAGTGGAGAATCCGCAGCAACAGAAAAGGGAAATAGACAGTACAATGATCTGACTGAACTTACGGCCATGGTAAAAAAGTTGGTGATCAGTCAAGAGGATCAAGTCAGTCGGCTGTCACAGCTGGAAGCCAGATTTGCAGCATCACCACGAATGATATTTCCGCAGACCCAAAGGCCTCAAGGGAGCAGTGATACTCCATCAAGGAGCGTTGTATGCTATCGCTGTAACAAACCGGGACACATTGCACGTCTGTGTCGGACAATAATGACTGATGAAGTCAGCCAAGCTGAAAATCAAACAGAGAATAGCCAAGATTTAAATGCGTAAGGCCTGTGGTCATCGGGGCGACCACAGGCATTCAACAGAGTCCCCAGCAACATGAGGCGAGAATGTCCAAACTAGCTAAAACTCCGCTGGTAGGTCCTTGTAATGAAGGGGTGGTTGAAGTAGATGGGGAGGTGTGTAAGGCTCTAATTGATTCCGGCTCTCAAGTAACTACAATTACAGATGAGTTTTGGGGCAGACACCCAATCTTATGTTCTAAGAGAGTGCAGCCATCAGAAATCCCAATTGAAGGTGCCGCTGGTCAACCCGTATCTTATGTTGGGGTACTCTGTATAAACCTGAAGTTTTTAGGAAGAGCTTATGTAAATGTTCCTGCTTTTGTTGTTCCTGTAACAGAGTACCGATCCAGTGTTCCATTGCTCATTGGGACTAATGTCATACGTGCTTTCAGAAATGATCTCCGAGCAACACATAGTAGCAAATACCTGGCCAATGTGAAGCAAACTAATCCTGAGTGGCACTCAGCACTGGTGTCCATAGGTAAAAGTGAACCTTGTGGGATTAATGGCAAAGTGGGTCAAGTACAGTATGCTGGTGATGCAATACAAATACCAGCAGGAAGAGAGCTGGATGTTGTGGGCAGAGTAATGGGTGGGCTAAAGAGGACACAATACACTGTTTTGGTGGAGAGCCAATGTTTGAAAAAAGTACCAGAAGGTATTGTAATTGCCAGACTGCTAGCTAATGTGAAAAAGGGTTATGTCCCTATTCGTCTCTTGAATCTTTCGGAAAAAGTTGTGACTGTGGAGCCAAGGACCCTGCTGGCAGATGCTTTCTTGGTCAATGAGGTATTTGAAGAGGGGGATGAGGGCAAAATACTAGGCCAGAAACAGATCATGGATCAGAATCTGTGTGAAAAAAACTCAGTGACTGCAACTTGTCAAAGTCAACAACAGGTTACCAGTGCTAAAAACGAGTTTGATATGTCATGTGGAGTTGACCTTAGTGCCATCACAGTGGAAGGGCAGGAGCAGTTGGATTTACTGCAAGATTTATTGAGGAAAAATTCTGATGTCTTTTCCAAACATTCCATGGATTATGGTCATACTACTACTGTGCAACACGAGATTCCTCTGGTAGACCCAAAGCCATTTCGCCTCCCTTATCGGAAGATACCTCCCTCACAGTACCAGGAAGTTCGGAAAGCCATATCGCAGATGGAAGAGGCTGGAGTTATACGCCCAAGCAAAAGCCCTTATGCGTCCCCTATTGTTGTGGTATCAAAAAAGGATGGTTCCATGAGGATTTGTGTGGACTACAGAAAGCTGAATTCTTGTAGCACCAGAGACGCTTTTCCTTTACCAAGAATAGAGGACGCATTAGAAGCATTGGGTCAAGCAAGTTACTTCTCGGCTCTGGATCTGACATCTGGGTATTGGCAAGTGGAGGTGGCCGAAAATGATAAGCATAAAACTGCTTTCAGCACACCAATGGGGTTGTACGAGGCTAATAGGATGCCTTTTGGTCTACAAAATGCTCCCTCAACGTTCCAAAGATTGATGACTTGCTGCTTTGGTGACTTAAACTTTTAGAGCCTCCTGATCTACCTTGATGACATAATTATCTTCTCTAGAACATTCGATGAGCACCTTGAAAGATTGGAGGAAGTGTTCAACCGCCTCCGCAAACATGGGTTAAAACTAAACCCTACAAAGTGTTGCCTGCTGAGGAAAGAGGTTCAGTACCTTGGCCATGTAGTGTCATCGGAGGGTATACGGACTGATCCTGAGAAGATAAGTAAAGTCAGGGATTGGAAGCGGCCGTCAACTGCGAAGGAAGTGCTAAGGTTTCTTGGTTTCTCAGGGTACTACAGACGATTCATCAAGGGGTATTCTGCACTGGCAGCTCCCTTGTATGCTCTGACATCTGGAGACCCTAAGTGCAGGAAAAAAAGAGGGGTAAAGGGACCACCTCGCCCTCCTAAACCATTTGAGTGGTCTGTCGAATGTGAGGCAGCTTTTGTGACATTAAAAGAGAAGCTGACTACTGCTCCCATTTTGGGCTACCCCAACTACAGTTTACCATTTTTGTTGCAAACTGATGCTTCAAGGGATGGTCTTGGGGCTGTCCTTGCCCAAATTCAAGATGGTGCAGAGCGAGTGATTGCTTATGGGAGCCGGGGCTTGAGTCCACCAGAAACCCGCTACCCAGCGCACAAGTTAGAGTTCTTGGCTCTGAAGTGGGCTGTAACTGACAAATTTTATGATCATCTCTATGGACATACATTCTCTGTTTTGACTGATAACAACCCACTCAGATATGTGATGAGCACAGCCAAATTGGATGCCACAGGCCAACGTTGGGTGTCACAGCTTGCCATATTTGACTTTGACATCCAGTATAGGCAAGGAAAGTGTAACTCTAATGCCGATGCACTGTCAAGAATGTCTAGCCAAGAAGTCGTAAAAGCCCTCCAGTCCTGTCCTCAACGGATCCTTCCTCAGGGGATTAAAGAAAATAGTAACACTGGCCAAGGGGAGCGGGAAGCAGGTGGTGGTGTGCAAGATGAGGTGGCAATTGAGAGCCAAGGGGAGACTCTGGAGGAGGTTGGAGAGAGGGCAGACAGATTTGAAGGAGCGGGAACGGATGCACTCCCTGCGATGACGAAGCTGGAGATCAGGCAATGTCAAAAACAAGACCCTGTTATTGGTCCAGTCCTGTATTTAAAAACACTGAATTGTAAGCCACGGCAAGGAAAGAGGTTGGAGGAAGGAAAACAAACACGGCTTCTTCTAAAAGAGTGGAGGAAGTTAGTGGTCAGAGATGGAATTCTGTACAGACAAGTTCAAGGTGGTCAGGGAAGGACTATTGATCAAATGCGAGAGGTGGCTAGGACAAGTCTTCATGATGATGCTGGTCATTTAGGTTTTGAGCGCACCCTGAGTTTGTTCCGTGAGCGATTTTATTGGCCAAAAATGCACTGTGATGTGAAGTCCTGGTGTGAGCAGTGTGAAAGATGTTGTTTAAGGAAGACTCCAACTGCTGGAAAGCGAGCTCCGTTGGTGAGCATTCACACTAATGCGCCTATGGAACTTTTATGCATTGATTTCCTGGTCCTGGAAAAGTCTAGGGGAGGTTTTGAGAATGTCCTGGTGGTCACTGATCACTTCTCAAGATTTGCCCAGGCCTACCCCACAAGAGATCAGAAGGCTGTCACAGTGGCAAAGGTGCTGTGGAAGAACTTTTTCTGTCGATTTGGTTTCCCAGCAAGACTCCATGCAGACCAGGGGCGCAATTTTGAGAGTGCAGTGGTAAAGGAACTGTGCAAGCTAATTGGAGTCACAAAGACTCATACCACCCCTTACCACCCACAGGGGAATGGGACTACGGAGAGGTTCAACAGAACTCTCATGAATATGTTGGGAACTCTTGATCCTGAGAAAAAATCTCAGTGGCATGAATATGTTGATGCAATGACTCTTGCTTACAACTGTACTCAACATGATTCAACAGGTTTCTCTCCATACTTATTGATGTATGGCAGACATCCCAGACTCGCAGTTGATCTTGTTTTTGGGTTGTCTACCACCAAAGGGCAATGTGAGTCCAATGAATATGTCCAAAATCTGCATGAAAGCTTGACTTTTGCATATGATCAGGCAGATAAGATGTCAAGGCATGCTAAGGATCTTCAGAAGAAGCACTATGATAAAAAAGTGAAGGATTACGTGTTTGAAACTGGTGACAGAGTGATGGTCAAAGTATGTCATGTAGAAGGGAAGCAGAAGCTGGCTGATAGGTGGGAGCCCCATCCTTATGTTGTGGTAAAGAAACAGCCAGGAATTCCAGTGTATGTTGTTCGATCAGAAGATGGTGACAAGGAAAGAGTGGTCCACCGCAATCTTCTAACTCAGTGCATGTTCTTCCCAGTTGAAAAGACCTACCAAGATCAAGTAGAGTCTGAAAGTGAGGGACAAGATGAAGTGGAGACAACTGATGATGTTTCTGATGAGGTGGATATGGAGAAAATAGACAAAAGTGAAGGACAGGATGAAGTGGAGGCACCTGATGATGTTTCTGATGAGAATGAGGTGGATTTGGAGAAAATAGACAAAAGAGTGGATGGTTCTGTAAACTTGTCTTCGAGCAATGAACCTGTGGACATTGTGGAAGAAGGAGAAGAGACTGTGAGTCCTTTGCAAGAAACAATAAGTGAAATGGAAAGTGGACACGAAGAGCATACACTGTTGGAAGTTCCGGAAATCAGAAAGCCAGAACGGAGATATCCTGAGCGGAAAAGACGCCCTCCTAATAGACTCTCTTTGGAGCTGCGAGTCTTTACAAGAGAAAGTGATAATGAAAAGATTGAAAGAGGAAGTAAAGTCTGGGAAAAGGCTAAAGCGAAGAAGGAGAAGCTGTGCCTTAGCAACACTACATATAGACATGCACACAATACACACTCACTGAAAAGAACTTCTTAATGTGTTTATTTGACTTTATTTAACAATTTTTGGAGGGGTGAATTGAATAATGGCTGTGACGCCATCAATCAAAGAGGGGGTGGGTGTAGGGAATATGTAATAACTCTTCCTTTCCTCCGGGGGGAGCTGTGTGTTGTGTTAGGGAGATGGGCTGCTCTTTGGCCTCAGTTGTGTTTCCCTGTGGGAAAGGTAAGGAGGATTGATTCAGCTCTAACCATAATCTGTTTAATTTCGTCAATAATAATTGCCATCCATGTTATTTTCTGAGATATGTTATAGTTTAGGCATTAATTAATGTGTAGATGTCCTTATTTTTGATAGATTGACTTATATTTCTGATATTTTAGTTGTTTCCATGCGGCATAGCATATTTTATGTTGTTTTAGGTTTGATAATACATGTTATTTGGTTGGTTCTTTATATCCTGAATATATTTAACATTTATAATTGCCTGTCATATGTTCTAGTTTATCTTTTCAGTGTTTAAGTTAGTTTGTGAACAGCAAGCTTACTAGTTATGTAGCTGCAGCATTTACATCATTTATTTTTGATCATTTGTACACTTAGTAATTATTTTGTGATGTACTGAGTTGTGTTTCCCTGTGGGAAAGATGTTGCAGTGCCATTTCTGCTGTACAAGTGACAAAATGAAGAGAGGAGTCCATTAAAGGGAAAGCTGCTCTGTTTGGCTCAACCACGGTCTTGGTGTCCTTCCTGTTCATCCTATCACACATACACAACGCAGAGACATTTTGGGGAAGCACACCAATGAAGAGGGTTACATATATATATATATATATATATATATATATATATATATATATATATATATATATATATATATATATATATATATACACACATACATTCATACATACACATGGAAATGCAAATAAAAGAAACAAAATGCTCAAGTATCAGGGAACATCTTAATACATTTAAAATGTTGTTTAAAAAATAAAACAAAATAGTGATGTAGACATTTGACATTAGCTTTGTCTTCTTTCGTCCTCCATCCCTGTCAGGAGCAAGTTGTGGCTACCTTGTAATGCATATTTCCACTTCTTTATCAGTGGTGTGGTATGGACATTTGTCCTCACTGCATCTGTGATTAAAAGATAAACAGATTATTAGTAGTGAACAAGTACTAATGTTTAAAAAAAAAAGAAAAATGCTTGATCTCATAAAAGTAAAACCTAAATGGGACTACATATAGATTTGTTTGTTCCTCTGGTTATAATTCAAAGAAATACAGAGATGAACAGACCCTAATTGTATTGAAATGTATATGTAAAATCAACTTACTGACTATGACAGTCCTAAGGGGTAGTGCACGAAAGGCCACTTTTTAATTTGGTCCGCTCCAGTTAATTTGTTTAGCCAATGAGTTAGCCAGAAGCTTTTCCAGGATACGGCAAACTGCTCAGTGGAAAACACCAATGATTCCAAAGTAGGCTACCTATAAAGAAAAAAAAGGAATAAAAAAAACAAATAAACTTAAAACACTTTGAAATTTGCAAGAACTTAAACTTACTAGTTTCTTCATTTGTTCGGGCTGCTTCTTTAGTTGATTTTCAAGCTTTTCCAAATCAAATTGGACAAAGGAAGGTCAAACGTATTTAAATCTGGAATTTCATCACGTCTGTTTTGGTTTTGTGAGAATCAGGCCCAGCTGCTGCTTTATGACATTGCATGATTTTAAAACTTCAGTCACTCGTGCTAAAAAAGAAAAATAACAGATTAGTATAAATCAACCTGTAGCTTATTCTCATACAACTTGTGTAAATACAACAGTGGGTTAGATACTGCTGATATTCTCTAGTTGATCTTTACTTTCTAGCTGCATTAAACCTTAACAAATTTAGTGATGTCTTGAATTCTTACAAAGACATCACGAGATGCAATAAGTTCTGTCTTGATCTCCAACTGCACTAGAACAAGGACTGTAAATGTTCATAGGTGTACTGGAATGTACAGTATCTGTGCATCTTGATGGTGGTCTTAGGATTTCTGCCATAGTCATTGATGGTGATGGTACTTGTGGTGCTGCATTGATTTCTGAAATCTTCATACCTGCCTTTTATCCAGCCTCTTTGTTCCAAGTAATTTTTCTTCATCATGATATAGTTGTCTTTAATGTCCCTTGATCAGATACATTTACAAAACAAAACATCACTTTAGTATAGTGCCAGTGCAAAACTCGCTGGTTGTAATAGATCAATGACATTATGTGTTTAAAATAATTGCAAACAAACCTGTTCTTTCTTTAGGTGTATGACAGGCGATCATCATCCTCATCTGTCTCCCAGTCAGAAATCACAGTTGCTTGTGAATGTTTTAGTCGAGCTTCCTCATATGCATCTATAATAAAACATCACATTGTTGACACATTGTTAACCTCCCGTAAAGAAAAGCTCAAATCCTGAAATACTATCAAAGTTAATTAATGCATATAATACCTATAGTGTAAATAATCAGTACACAGAAGGTTGCACAAGATTTATTCGGAGATTCATGCAGAGTGACAGCCTTATGAATCTGAGACATAGATTTGTAAGATGGCCAAGCACATGCATAATTCTGTACCTATGAAGATTAACCTACCATTGTGAAAAATGTTTGATGATGATAGCCAATAACAATAAACCATTTCAGCTGTTTGTGAAGCAATTAGTAATGTAATGTCTGAAAAGCTCAATCTATGTTGAAAATGTATCAGCAGTTTACAGCTTATAATGGACTTTTAGCACACAACTATAACATGCCTGTTCACGTTCAAAAGAGTGTGCCATTGGCATCTTTGGTCGTGATGTGCTGCAAAATGACCTCACTAACCTTTGCTAAACAAAAACAATAAGACTTTACCAACAAATATTGTTACCCATTCATTTAAATCAGAATTTATCAGAATCAGAATTTTTGTCAATAACAAAAAAAAAAAAAATCAAAATCTGCTTTAAGACGTTCAGTTTAACATTAACTGACCATTACAGCTTGAACCAAAGATATTATTGATTCCCATAGGCTAACACATATGAATTGAAAGCACATGTTTTGCCATGTTAGTGTTAATGGATTCGTCTGCAGAAACTTTCTTTAACGTAAAGTTAGCATACACACAAATTCGTTTCATGTTTCTTTAAAATAATTAAAATAGTTTTCAGTTACTAAACACGTTACAGTCTAACATTATGTTAAAGGAACAGGAACTTTCAGATGTGTTTGTAACGTTAGCGCTAGCATAACTTGCATTAGCTCCAGTCGTGTTTCTTAAAGCAAGTTACTTTCGTATCAAATTGTTTTAAATTACTAAACACTGTTACAATAAAACACTGTGGAAAAATGTTTTAAGCTCTAAATTCGCAAAGTATACAGTACACAAGCAGTAAAAACCTTTCCTTTCTGACCAGAATCCACATGAAAGTTTTGAAAAACCAAACTTCTTTTTCTTCCTATGATCTTCATGGCAGTCGGCAACCAACTTTTTGGAGCATTACCGCCACCGCCTGGATTGGAGTTTGGATCAGGAGTTTACTCCAATGTTCTGCAGCTGGATATATCTCATACTCTTACATGTTTCTTATGAAACCAACTTCTGCTTAAAAAAAACAGTCGGCACAGGAGCGTGCCGTCTTGAAAATCAGCGCATTTTACACCGTTTTTCTCTAGATTATATATATATATAATCCATTTATAAATAGCGTTGTTTTGTTTGCGTCTAAACACTTGCGACCATCCACACTAAATATTCTTATTATTTTGTTGCTGTCCTACCATGAATATTTTCTCAAATTATCATTAAACATGGAGCTAACAGATTACTAGATAAAATAAGAATTTAATCGGTTGCCATCAGCCGAGTCCTTGCCAGAAGCGGCCCAGGCTCTACAGACAGACTCGGGCCGGATAGGGTTGACTGGAATTGGGCCAGTGCTTTAAAGCCGCATCACAACCGCATGTGCGCGAGCGAGCTGCGGCCCGGATAACACTCGCCGATGCCGAGTCAGAGCCGGAGGCGCCGAAGGGCAGCCGAGCTCGGGCCGATTACTACCTGCTATCGGGGATGTTTAGTTAACTTTTTGTTGACTTCACATTGCAACTGTAAAGATTGATTAGAAAAAATGTTTACAGGTCAAAACATGCATACACAAGTAAATAATATGTGTGATTAGTCACTAGGAGAAAAATTATATAATAGCATACATCATAAATATTATAGAAAATAAATATAATACAGAAAAGCCACGTTTATTCACATAATCATCACATGTATTATTGTAAACCTCAACATCTTGGTGCTATTGGTGTTACTTTTACATTTCATACTTTACAAACCAATATAATAAACCCTTACAAAAAATAACAGCATACTGATGTAAAACTGCAGTACAACTGAACAATAGCAGCAGGCTATAAAGAATAACTGCAGTAAAAATATTTGCTACTGCAAAATTGCAATATAATGAAGTAAAAACACAGTTCAACTACATTACTACATATTGAATAAAAAACTAATTAAAAGCTAGTTTAATTTTCAGTACATTAAAGTAAAACTATAGTAAAAGGTAAACTGCAACTTTACTCCATTTGGGCATTGTAGTGCTGTACAGTCTAATTTGCCAATGGTGTGATAATTGGACTACTATAGGCTACTGTACTTGTTTTTGTACTTATTTTCAGGTATTTTCTTATTGTAAACTAGTCATCTTCTTATTATTATTATTATTATTTCCTTTATTTAGCCAGGAGATCACATTGAGACAGTACTGTCTCTTCTTCCAGTGAGACCTGGTCAAGATGGCAGGCAACACATAAAGTTTCATATAAAAATCACAAACAATACCACAAAATTACAAAATCACCATTCTTAAAAACATCAGCTCATAACAAACAATTGCAGGTGTCCTTTAAAATGTTGTATAAAAGATGTTTAAAAATACTCAGAGTCGGAAGAGTGTCAAGATTGAGCTGATTTTGCAGGTCGTTCCAAGCCCTGGGAGCGTGAACGGAAAAAGCACGTTTGCCAAGTTCTGATAATGCCCTTGGGACTATCAGACGAATACATGAACCAGATCTAGTATTTTGATTGTTGGTGTGAAATGTTAATAAATTAAAAATATAGGATGGTAATTTACCTAAAAGAGCTTTTAAAATAAATAAGTACAGATGTAATTTTCTCCTTTGATATAGAGATAACCAGTCTAAGGAATCATACAAAATACAGTGATGCGTCCGTGAATCTGCACCTGTGACAAAACGTATTGCTGCATGATAAACAGAATCTAATTTTCTTAATAGGGTAGTGGTTGCGTGCATATAGAGATGATCACCATAATCCATTATAGACAGAAATGTACTCTCTACTAATTTTTTGCGGACTTTATAAGGAAAACAATTTCTTGACCGGTATAAAAAACCTAACTTTGGCCTAAGCTTTTTCAGTAACTTGTCAATATGTATATCAAAGGCTAATCTCTCATCAATCCAAACTCCTAAATATTTATAAAAGCTAACTCTTTCTATTTGAACACCGTTCAGAGTTTTTATTGTCTGATCTGTTGACTTAATGCGGCCACGGCTAAAAATCATATATTTAGTCTTTTTTGAATTTAAGACCAATTTTAAATTTTGCAACGTACACTGCAATATTTGAAAAGCAATCTGTAGATGTTGTACAGCTTGGTTTAAAGAATGTGCTGCTGTATACATTATTGTGTCATCGGCATACAGATGTATTTTTGCTGATTCTATTCCGTGACCTAAATCGTTAATATAAATAGAAAATAACAACGGAGCTAAAACCGATCCTTGGGGAACCCCAGTGTTAACATTTAGAAATGGTGAATTATAATTTTCTACTGTCACACATTGAGTGCGTTCTGAAAAATAGTTTTCAAACCAGTTTAGAGCAGATTGAGTAAAACCTAAAAGCCTAAGTCTCTGCAACATTAGTTTATGATCTACAGAATCAAAAGCTTTAGATAAATCAATAAATAAAGCAGCACAGGACTGTTTACTGTCTAAAGAGCGTGTGATATCATTTAAGATTAATGTAGCTGCAGTAACCGTACTGTGTCCCGTTCTAAATCCTGACTGGTGATCCTGAAGTATATTATTAATTGACAAATATTGTTTTAGTTGGTCATTTATCAATGACTCAAAGACCTTTGCTAAAACCGACAATCTGGAAATAGGACGGTAATTATTTGGGTCTGCAGGATCTCCCCCTTTTAATAATGGCGTAACCATAGCAGATTTCCACATTTTAGGTATCACATTAGAAGTGAGACTTAAGTTAAATAAAGAGGCTATAGGTTCTGCAACTAACTCTGCTGCCAGACGTAAGAAATAAGGGTCAATTTTATCGATTCCTGGTGATTTTTTAATATCTAGAGTCTCTAAAGCTTTATGGACCTGTGTGACGGTGATAGGCAAAAACTTGAACAAATGTGAGGAACTGTTTCGAACAGACTCAACAAGTGTGTTTGAAGTATGGGCAGATGAGACGGGAGAATCAGAAATCGAGCCGACAGATATGAAATAATTATTAAGATTGTCTGCAATGTCTTCTCTGCCCTTAACTTCAGTGTTATTAACTTTTAAATAATTTGGGAAATTAGAAGCCGGTTTAGATACTGAAACAGACTTAACTAATTTCCAAAAATGTACAGGATTTTTAAAGTTTTTGTCTATCATAGACAGATAATATTCACACTTTGCCCTTTTTATTAACTTTGTACACTTATTTCGTAAAGCTCTATATGAATTCCAGTCTGTAAGATTGTTTGATTTCTTTGCCTTGGCCCATAAAATATTCCTTTGTTGTATAGAAGTAGAAACTGTGTGATTGAACCAAGGATTATCCTTACCACTTATCCTAAATCGTTTAAATGGGGCGTGTTTATCACAGATAGATAGAAATGTGGTTCTGAAGTAGTCCCAGGCCATGTTGACATCAGGTATACGTGAAACAACACCCAGATCACTGAGGTAGATATCCCGTAAAAAAGCTTGTTCATTAAAATGCTTAAAAAATCTTTTAAAAGTATATCGTGATAAGGGTCTATGGTTTTTACAGTTTCTCACGCAGACAACTGCGCAGTGATCACTAATGTCATTGCAGAAAACTCCCGTTGCTGGATATCTATGGTCAGCATTAGTTAAAATTAAATCCAAGAGAGAAGATTTATCTGAATCCTTTTGATTTATCCGAGTTGTTGTTTTAATCAGCTGGACCAAACGAAAAGAGTCACATACCTCCTTAATCATGTCGGAGGAAGACGACAGCCAGTCCCAGTTCAGATCGCCGAGTAAAATCAATTCAAATTTAGTCCAGTCGTGAAGAAATTCTGCAAGTAAAGTGCATGCTTCACTTGAAGACGATGAAGGCGGGCGATAACAACCACCAACGATAATGTCCGAGCCGGAGACCAAATGTAGTTTAAGCACCAACAATTCCAAGCTGTTTTCTTTGCTGATCGAATGTATGCAGGAGCAATTTAAGTTGGACTTTACATGTATAGCAATTCCCCCTCCTTTTTTCGTACGATCACATCTGAAGACATTATAAGTAATAATATTAATCAAGTCATTAGTAACTGATGCCTTCAACCATGTCTCAGTGAGGACTAAGCCGCACTATTCTTAAAGTGACAGCGTGCGATATTCCTGCTGCCGCCTGAGAAAATCCCTCACTGCTCTTGACTGCAGGACTTTTGTAGCTGAAGTTTTTTTCTTACAGTGAAGATGCTTAAAGATTATTTCATATTTTTATTCTATTGTATTTATTTTCCTTTCCTCATTTACAAGGAGGAAAATAACTGCATATTTACAGTTAAAATCAGAATTATTAGCCCTTCTCAATTATTAATGACCCTTTCCCCCCAATTTCTGTTTAATGGAAAGATTTATTTTCAACCCATTTTTAAGCATAATAGATTTAATAACTCATCTCTAATAACAGATTCCTTTATCTTTCCTATGATGACAGTACATTTTATTTTACTAGATATTTTTCAAGATACTAGCATTCAGCTTGGGGTGACATTCAAAGGCTTAATTAGGGTATTTAGCCAAGTCATTGTATAACAGTAGTTTCTTCTGCAGAAAATCAAAAATTTATATTGCTTAAGGAGGCTAATAATATTGACCTTAAAATAGGTTTCAAAATATTAAAAACTGCTTTTATTCTTGCTGAAATAAAACAAATAAGCCTTTCTCCAGAAGAAAAAATATTATAGAAAATACTGTGAAAAATACCTGAATTTGTTAAACATCATTTGGGAAATATTTTTATACAAAAAAAAAAAAAAAATTGTACGGAAGGGTGAATAATTTTGACTGATAAATGTTTTGACAAATGTTTTATAAAAAAAATGAGCAATTTTCATCATTTCAGCTATAGGCAAATATATGATTCAGTTATACATAAGTTATATGACATTTATGAGGCATGTAACATGTTTCTGTGTTTTTGTTTTTTTGTTCTTGGTGATCTTTAATATAGCTACGCAAATATTTTCTAAAACGTCTAGCAATAATTTGCCTACAGCTTGTTAGGTAATTATGAAGACAAAAATAATTATAATAATAAAAATAAAATGATCAAAATAAAAAGATAATAGAGCAGCATTTTGCAAAATATAATAGTGCTTTATATGCTTTAAATCCTGCAATATATGTGTTGTTTCATATTCATTTTTTATTTCACTTGCTGCATTCGTTATTTAATGTTTGAATAGTAAAACAAATAACAGCCATCGCTTAATTGGTTTCATTTTACCATCAAAATGTAGTATAGTTTATATAATTATCAACTTTTTATGAAAAAACGCAGTGTAATTTATTTGATTGTTAAAAATGAAATAATTTATGTGCTGTGTTTTTATTAGTGAAAGTGTCCGCTCACCTTTGACAAGGCCTGTCCAAAATTATATTTCTGCCACTATAATACAAATGCACTATTATTGTTGTCTTATCATTGTTTATTTTTCTGTTATGTTCAGAGATTTTAAATATTATTTATTTCCCTCCAATTATTTTCAATCATCACGATACATTTTGGTAATTTACCCTCCAAATAAAACTTAGCCAGAGCTGCGCAACATATAAATAAATAAGGGTGCACATGTACCTATATTTAGCATCCCTATTTGATAAAGCAGCATAACAGTGTTCAGTCACATGGTTGCTTTTGCTTTTCTGAAAAATAAATAAATAAATAGTTTTGGCTCTTATTTAACTTTAATTGAACAAAGGGAGCCGTTTACATTGCGTTACCAAGGCAACTACTGATGCGCTTTGTGTAATGTTTTAAAGAGCTTTGTCGCAGCACGACAGTGGAAAATGAAACCGTATCCGTGCTGTCTGGCCCGGTTTGGCACGGAATGGAACAGTTCTGTTTAAAGAACGATTCAGCACGATAGTGGAAAAGCGGCTTTTGAGAACCACTGTTCTATGAGAATACTGTAGGTCAAATACCGTCAGCTCATTTAAACTTTTTTAATTTATTGTTTTTGTTTATTTTATATAGCGCCAGTGCTCAAGGACGCTTTACAAACAGCAGGAGAACAAGAAAAGCAATAACCTTAAGAAGGTAGAGAAAATGGGAGACTAATAATACATTAAAATAATGACAAAAGACATGAGAACAAGTAACAAAAGAAACTCATTCCTGTCTTTCAATGAGTGCTTATGTGCATTTAGGAGAACTAGGCAGCACACTCAGGGCTGCAAGATGGATTTAATTTAGTATTTGTATTATTAAAATATTTCTGAATGAAAACAAACCTGTTTGTTCCTGTGGATCTTCCTGTTTGACTGTGAATGTTTCTTCAATCTTCACATCTTCACTCTCCTCTTTAATAAACGCCATCTTTATAACAGTGTGGAGATCAGTCGCTTCAGCTCTGTGTTTGGACACTATATCCTGTTTAAAATTAATAAAACAATAAACAGAAACAAAATAACTTCTCTTCAACACTTGCTTCAACAGTTTCTTTATATGAGAGTAAAACAAAACGTTTCTTTAAAACACTTATTACACACTTTCCTGTTACTTTATTCAAACAATAGTCATCAGTTACTGAGAATAAAATAGTACTACGTTGTATAAAGGGTTAAAATAATATTTCCAATAGCAGGAACATAATATAGCATCGTATAAAAACACTTAAAACTTTAGAGTTTTAACTTTAAATCAGTTTATATCTGTAAACGTTTTCAAACAAACCTTTCTCCAGTGGAATCACAGCGACGAAGCGGCGCTGCCTGATGACGTCACGCGCCACGGCAAAATAAAAGTATTTTTTGTTTAACTTTTTTGCCACTATCTGTTGCAGTCATGACTTACTGATACATTTCTCCTATGATTTTCACTTTACACTATATCTGCTCTCTCTCACAAAAACCTTAAATCTAAATATTTTCTTAAGTTTTTAATCCACTTTATAATGATTTGTATGTCTACAACACATTACTTCCTATTAATATAGGAGTCCAAATCTCATCCTCATAATTATGACCTCTTCTTTTCTTTTTCTACAACTTCATATGCCTATGTAGAATTTCTTTTTTTCCACATGAATTGTTGTCTCTTATTATCTGTGTTCCACGTTTCCTGCCATTCTTTAGCAATCTTCAGTAATATTTAATTTACCTTGGGGTAAGTCACATAAAAATCACAATTCTGTAATTTACTCATCCTCTACTTTTTCCAAATCTGTTTGAGTTTCTGCTGAATGCAAATAAAGAGAATACTGGGGCAAAAAACAGCCACTGTATGGTTCAACAGTTTGGACATGTCTGCTTTTTTCCACATTTTCTTGCACAAAATGTTCTTGGAACTTGATTACAATTTAACCACTAAAGTCACATGTCACATGTTTTGGCAATGTTTTTGGTTCCTTTTCTTGGATCTCTTGCTGTCTATGACAGATGAAGGAGCTTTCTGATTTCATCTAAAGTGTCTTCATTTGCGTTCTGAAGATGACCAAAAATCTCAGGGGATTGAAACAACAGGTAGAGGGACAATCGTTCTCGAGTGCCTAGTGTACACTATAACACACGCCTTCCACCGCTGCTATTAAACAGCCACATCCCACTGTTTTTTAAAATGTATTTATTCATTTTAACAATAACAACAGGCCATTACAATAAATAGAAATACAAAAACAGATAGAAGGCCACATCACACTGCTCCTCGTGTGATATTACTCATATATATTTATTAATTTCCTTTACAGCTTAGTCCCTTTATTAATCAGGGTTCACCATAGTGGAATGAACTGCCAACTTATCCAACACATGCTTTACGCAGCAGATGCCCTTCCAGCTGCAACCCATTACTGGGATACATGCATACACACTCATTCACACACACCATATGCATACCGCATGCCTATGGACTTGGGGGAAACCAGAGCACCTGGAGGAAACTCATGCGAACATGGGGAGAACACGCAAACAGAAATGCCAACTGACCCAGCTGAAGCTCGAACCAACAACCTTCTTGCTGTGAGGCGATCAGTGCTACCTACTGCACCACTGTGATGCCTCGCATGTATAATTATTTGAGTATTAAACTGGTATTATTGTTTCTAAAAAGAACCTACTGAAAAAGAAATTTGAACCTGGGGATGTTGCCTATGAGGATGAAAGTTCACCAGCCACAGTTCTAGACATTAAAGGTAAAACGTACAGCAAACATCAAGACTTGTGATCATGAGTAGGCATTGGACAATAACCGGTTTCAAGGTTTATGTCTGTTTGGAAAAGTCACGGTTTTATAACCACCAATATTTTCTGCTATACCGTTTCCAAGGTATTTGCAAAGGTTTTTTATGTGTTGTAAAGAAATCTGTGTTTTTGAAACTAATGACAGCAGCAGTCAATGATTTATTTTAATTATTTAGCCTGACATGTTTGCCGTTCCAAAATATTTAAAATCTTTCCTAAAATATAATGTGTTTAAGTTGTTGTTTTTTACTCAGATGTTTGAAAATAACTTATTTTAGAGCAGTAATCACAATATTGTGATATTTTATCCAAGGGTATCATACCAACAGAAACTTAAATCCTGCCCATGCTTTATCATGATTGAAGATAAGTATTTTCAACTTTATCTATTTCTCTTTAGAGAACAAAGAAACTCTCAGGAGGAGGATATTCAGAAGAGGGGAATTTACAGACGTAGTACAGAAGAAGTTTCCAAACGTACCAATAAAATTTATCAGGGCAGCAGTAAGGGAAAAAGTAAATGATGAGCACAAGTTACAAGGAAGGTAATAATTTGTGCACGCACGCACGCACGCACACACATACACACACACGCACACACTTGTATGTACCCTTTTCACATTTGCGTGTTTTTTAGCAGCAGAAATCATCATAGTTGGTAAACTCCGAGCGCAGTGAATGAGAGAGTACAACGACTTTTTAATTTTTTTACAATTCTATTTGCTACAGAAAACAATGTCAAATTTACTGTCCTGTCCCCATAGACACTTCATTAGATACTCCTCGCATTGTTTTTTAAATTTGACATAAAGATTGTATTATACATATATGAATGTAAATGTACATAAGTTTAAAAAATCTAAATATTAAAAACTTTAAGGTATTTAGGATGCAGATGATCTTTAACAACACATTATAACAGTCTTGTGAAAAGGGTCCATTGGTTGTTTATGGGGATTCTTCATAGCTGTAATGGTTTTTATACTGTACACTGTATTCTGCCCTACACCAACTCTACCACTTACAGGAAACTTTTTTTTCTTTTTTCTTTTTTAGGAAAATGGAGTAAACGCAGCCTGTTCATTGGATTCTGGTCTACTTTTTATTTTTTTAACAGTTTTAATAAATAATTTGTGAAAATACATTGATTCATTGTGAAATTTCTCTAACTTCATATCTATCCTGCACAATAATCCTGCAGGAACTGTATATTTTAATAGACCTGTAGGATTGTAATTCTTGCAGGAACAATCCCTGCATAAATTTCCTTCATAAAATTCCTGCAGGTATTCCTACAGGAAAATGAGCTGAAAATCCTGTAGGATACCTGTATGAAATTCCTGCAGGATTCCTGCGGGGTTTTTTTTTGTAAGGGAGCCCAAAAGCAAAAGAGACATAAAACATCAAATCACATCTGTAAAATTCTAAACAAATGTTTTCTCTGTATGCACTGTGGTGGTACCAGTCAGCATCGATCTGCATTGCCCACCAGTAAATAGAAAGATAATGTTATGAACATTTTACATCTTATCAGGTGTGCAAAAGCAAAAGGCTTCTCAAGTACAGTGCACAAAATCATAAAGAAAAAGGTCAGGGTTACAGGCAGTGTTGACGAAAATTAACTTTATATATATATATATATATATATATATATATATATATATATATATATATATATGTATATATGTGTGTGTGCGTGTGTGCACATGTAACTGAACTGCAACCAATTACAAACCCAAATTTAAAGTGAAGCCAGTCTTCAGTTTTTGCATCATCATTGACAAAATATGGCGGTTAACTCCCTTGCCAACAGCTGCATCTCCTAAAAAAAAAATACAAAATGAAGCAAGTTCGTTGCAGAAACTGTACAGACTATAAGCGATTCAAATGATTTTAATAATAAAAAAAGGAGTACCAGTCAATCTATATTTCAATGGAGTGGACCAATTAGCACTGTTCATTTTATAAAATGAAACCAGGGTACTATCTTGTTCATCCATAGTATCAAACTGGTTGATGAGTAATGATAGAGATGGACAGTGTGAATTGATGGAGAGCAACTCATCACAGAACATTCGAGATGATTTGAATGGGTCAATTTCATTTTTCCATGCTGAAATCAAATGAACAATTTATCTAAATACCATTTTACAAGCATAGTTGAATAACAATACAAAAAAGATAAAAGAATAAATGAATAAAGATGCACTTATCATTTTACAGTACAACAGCACTAAAAAAAAAAATAAAATGTGTTGTGTCTAACCTGAAGACAGGGATGTTGAAGATTGTGCAGTTGAGGGTCCTGGCAATTCTTCTGTATTTAAAGTGAATGAAGAATCATTGTCACCAAAAGTCCTTTCTCTAAAACAGGCAAGACACAAACAATTTCAATTTTGTTCATTAAGCCACTTCAAAAATTTTCATGCATATTGTTGCGTCCTGGTTAAAAGATGACTAAGTCTTCCACTGATGTTCACGATTAGTTTATTGGTCACATTTCATAGAATTTGTTCACATTATTCATTCGTGAATCACCGTAAGAACTAGAGAGAAAACAAACAACAAATACAAATAAATCCCGAAAATTAACGCTAAGTCAACATCAACAATTAAACGATAAACAAATAAACCAAATTACCTTATTTTTTCCATCAAACCAGGAGCTATAACTCATGAAGGAGGAACCCGTGAAGCTACCATATACATGTACCCCTTTTACCGTGTTTTTCCTAGCGTTCCATAGTTTTCATTCACTCCTACACGCAATTTATACATCCGGTAAACTCCGCAATTTTGACGTCATAATCAAAGTCCCCAAACAATGTAATTCATTCAAAAAAAATCAACCCGTATACAAAATACAACAAAACATAAAAAATAAAGAAATAAATAAATTCAAAATCATAACAAAGTAACACATTATTTCAAGTTTCTTTACACATATTAAAAGCATTTGCCCAGTTTCATAGACAAGGCTTAGACCCTAGTGCCAGACAAAGTCTGGATGTAACATACAATGACATACTGTATATAGTCATTAATGTCAAAATTAACCAGTAATGATTTTCTCAAAGCAAGGCTTATAAAAGTTACATACATCTGTAGCATGAAATTAGCTCATTTTATGAATATTAATAAATCAACAATAACGGTTTATTCTTAATTATTAATATTCCGGCTTAAGCTTCAGTCAGTTTGGTCAAACAAACATATGATTGTAAATGATCATGCTCGCGCGACCGAGCGGATTCCCAGATTATGAATATTAATTATAAACAATAACGAATTATTATTAATCATTAATATTCCGGATCAATTTATTGTTAATTTGACCAAACAAACACAAGCAGAGCCACCGCTCTTCCGAGCGGACACGGTAATCTATTCATTTAGAAAAAGGGAATTTAATTGCTACTTCTTGTGAAGTAGATTAATCATTCAAAAGTTTTAAACAACTTATAATAGCTAGGCAGGGGAATCTGTATTTCAGTGACATTTTCTCGTGAGGCAAACAATACAATTCATTTGATTATAATGGAATTTATTGACTAGTCAGACGTAACGAACAAACAAACGCACAAACATACATTAAACACAAAACAAAGGTAAACCACTTGGAGATATCGGGTCTATAGAACGTGTAACAACAAAGAGAAATAGTAAAGCTAGAAAATATAGATTTCAGATTAAAGAGTGACAAAACGTTCAGTTCCACACGCACCATTACGGACCACCAAGGTTATAAAAAACACCTTTTTGATAAAAGGGGCACAGCTTAATCGCATAACTAAAATCACCTGGTCTTTCATGTCTGGCGGTCTCTCTTATGCGTCTCTCTTCCGTCGTGATGAAACTACTCTTGATGTCCTTTGATGCATGGAGTTTGTAATGCAGTTCGGACGAACACGATCGCAAACTTTAAACTGAATTTACTTTGCCGGAAAATAAAGAAAGCGTGGCGGGAAAAAGTCCATGCGGCTTAGAAAGCCACGTGTGGCCCGAGGGCCACCGTCAATGATGTTCCTTTTTGGGAAGTTCTCTTTCTGCCCGATGTTTGGGAGGGCAGAATGAGTTATACCTGCGGGTCACGTGACGACCCGTACAGCATTCTGACCAATGATTTCAGGGAAAAGTTTGCGCGCGAACCTTCCTTTGTCTCTGGGCTGCTCGTATGCAAATTTGAGCGTCCGCCTAAAGCATGCGGACAGGCATTTAATACAGGGCTTTAAAGAATAAAGCAATGCGAGTTATGGTCTCGATCTACGCATCATGTGTTGTAAAATGTCAGCAGAAACCCATCGGTACCAAACATGGTGGGGTTGAAAGTACATCACCATAATTTTTCATATCCTTACAATATTTATGCTTTACAAGACCTAAATGGAACATGCATACAGGTTATAAGAGATGTTACACAGGTAAGAAAAGTCAGAAATGAGATACAAAGTTTACAAAACATAACACATTGGTTTTGTGCTGGTTCTGGATTTGATGAGTTAATTTTCTTTCTTATCTTATCTGTCATGTTCTTTTGAAGTAGGCAGAGAGTGGTTCTGTGAAGTCTCCCAGACTTGTTAACATGTCACCACGGATTACTAAGCCAGACTTTTCGTCGCCAAGTGATTTTATTGTCCTGGCGATTCACCCAGATTGTTTTCTGGAATGTTAAATGGAATGTTTATCTCCAGAATGCAGGTTACAATATGTTACAGTCCCCCTCTTCCCAAACAACGTGGTTCGGAGAAAACCCGGTTGGTTGGGATCTAACTTAACTTGTTGGTTGGGCAGGAAGTGAGGGCCCCTCGATGTCTGTTCCTGAGTCAGCTGGACGGAGTTTCATTTCGATCAACGTGGGTGCAGCTCCTTGGCGTTCCTTTCCTTTCCCAGCTTTCCGCTGAAAGGCTCGTGGGAGTATGCCGGTGCACTTGTTCACTGGTGCTTGCATCTTATTGAATGGCGAGGCCCTTGTTAATGTGTGCTTCCCTGTTGTTGGGAGGCACGGAGTGGTAGTTGTTCCGCAGTTTTCCAGAGATGAGTGATAGAGGAGTATAGTTGTGAGGTTGCAGTGGTCTTCTGGTGAGACTGAGGTACAGGATCGTGGCTGTATCCTGTGTAGGAAAGGAATAGTGAGAGAGAGAGAGAGGGAACAGGGGAGAGAGTAGGTGGTGTCTGTGATGACTGTGCTTGGCTGGGCATTCCACTGTGACACCGGTTGCAGGGTCTCTACCCCCCTTTCCTGGCTTGTGGACCAGTGTTTGTTACTCTGGTTGTGATACGTAGGTTTGAGGGTTGGCTGCTATGCAGCTGAGCGTATACAACCAGGAATCTTTGCCCTTCCTGTGTGATGTTGGTAGTGCAGGGTGGTTGCCTCTGTCCAAGTTGTTTACATCATCAGAAGATATGCCATGGTCTGCGCTGTGTCGTCGGTGCTGAGAGACACTCTACCCATTTGGTGTACTGGCACATGAGTTCAAGGGGAAGAGAAAGCGAAGGAGAGGGAAACACAAAAAAAAAAAATTGTTGCTCCTTGTGAGCCCATGGAAGTGTCCCGCCCGATCCATCTGGGTGTCTGATCATGAGAGGATGGTTTCTCTGTTGCTGTGGTGCTCGGTAAATCAGCGCCCTGGGCATGTTTTGCTGTGTGCAGGGTCAGTACATTAGCATTACCCCCCCTCTGGCTCTGAGGCAGCACAAACTGTGGTGTCGTGGGGTCTTCAGGGACAACCCAAAAAGGATTCACACGCACCTGTTTTTTTAAGATGTAGGAGGTGTTGAGTGACATCTGTGAAGCTGAGGTCAGACAGAAGGGTCGGGTGGTAGGTGGGGTGAGTGGTGGAAAACTAACAAAACAAGAGACAAAGTAAAAGAAAAAAATAAAACTGGTCTGACGTGAGGAGTCAGATGCCTACGTGGTCGCAATGTCGTTTGCGACATTTGTCGGGCTGGTGAGATTGGATGTGGCAGCTAGGCTAGGCAGGGTTGTTGGCTGCCGGTTACAGCTGCCAGATCTCGGGGTTTTGGTTGGGTGGTGACCATAGTCCACCGTGTGATGCACCTTCTTGGTAAGGGCATCGGTCCAGTCATTCAGGTCTTTGTCAGTGCCTGAAAGTTTGAACTGTTCTTATCTTTTTTCTGTAGA